GAGTAATATTAACAAATAAGCATAGAATTGGACCAGTCATCCCCCCATGCAAAATGCACCATGAGTGTGGAGGTCAAGGCTGCCCACTCATTACAAAGGACTCAGCAATGATTGATCATCAGCCACAGCATCAACAAAGTGTGCCGCTAGACAGACACTTGTATTGCCTCGTATTAGCTACTTTGCAGCTTCATAAAATCGTGAATATTTTTATAGTGTAGAGGATACTTAACAACAGCTGTACTTGTGGCAAGTGTCCTAGTGAAGTTTACAGCGACCACTGTCACACAGATATTCCTTCCCTCACTGCACGGCTGATGCATCCACAAAGAAACGAAGCATAGCAAGCGAAATAGAAGGCAATGCACAATAATTTCATCCTGTCCCAAACAATAAAGCGTACTTCCAAATTTTCTGAGGAGTGCACTGCTCGTGTAACAAGTCTTGGATAAAAAAGATTTGGTCAGGGAACTCTTATCTAGATACATGGAAGAAAAGAAATTGTTTTTTTTGGCAATCACGAAATAAAATTTCATTATATTTGTTGCATTCCAAAGAAAAAGTAGATTCTAGAGACTACACAGAACGAAGTAAATATGAGACCACCAAGAATATTTTCTAGTTACAAGAACATTAGAGAACACAAATCACCGGTGAAATATAGGAGAAAGGAAAAAGCGTCGACTTGTATTGCGTCATATAATTTTCTTGTAACATGCACCAACTACCCAGAAGTCTTACTGAATTATTTCCTAGACCCCGCAGTGGTATGGTGGTTATGGTGCTTGGCTGACATAAAAGATGCGTCAGTCATACTTAGATGGAGGCAAAGTGCTAGAGGACTGTGTCCTTAGACCTAGGTGCACATTATAGAACTTGTAGAACGTCAGGTGGTCAACATCTCTAAAGCCCTACACAATGGTGTGCCTCATAATCATACTGTGACTCTAGCACACGAAACTACAGGAATTATATTTATTCACTATTTCCAAATGCTGTTTGTGTTTTTGTGTGCATGCAGTGACATCTGTTGGTGAGACTCAGTATAGATAATTTTGCCGCATCACTTGCGACAGCACTTTTTTGTTACTGAATGTTTATGTGAGATATTTAACTTTTTTATCGTATTTTTGCCCATATAACTCACCCCTGCACACAATCCGCACCCCCCCTTTCAGCTCACCTAAAAAGAAAAAAAAAACTTCTGCGTATTGTTCGCATATTGGATATAGAGAAAAGCCTGTACAAAAGCTACTGCTCAAGCAGTAGAGAGCCCTTGTAGCTTCATAAAGCAATGCAGCCATCCGCGGTTTGCATGGAATCTGTGATGTAGGCTTAGCTCCCTCGACAGTCGCCGCACTTCCACTTTGGCCATCTCGGTCGATACGACGTGACCCCTGCTTCTCATATCTCTGATGAGCTTTACTAGCTGCACCTCTGGCTCAGGGTAGGCGCTGGTCTTGGGGCCACGAAAAGACCTACAATCACGGTGCACAGCTTATAGGCTATCTTCTTTCTCCACTGGCGCACGCAGGAGTCATCTACATCGTGGTTTCCCGCTTCGTGGTTACTGAATTCCTCAGCGACGGCGATGGTCTTAAGCTTGATTAATTGATATGTAGGGTTTAACGTCCCAAAACCACCATATGATTATGAGAGACGCTGTAGTGGAGGGCTCCGGAAATTTCGACCACTTGGGGTTCTTTAACGTGCACCCAAATCTGAGCACACGGGCCTACAACATTTCCGCCTCCATCGGAAATGCAGCCGCCACAGCCAGGATTTGATCCTGCAACCTGCGGGTCATCAGCCGAGTACCTTAGCCACTAGACCACCGCGGCGGGGCGTCTTAAGCTTTTGCTGGGTGGTGAAGTACTGCCGCTGGACGCTGCGGTATCAGCGAGGTAAAAAGAGCTCACACTCGGTGACAACTTTGCTTGACAGCGCCGTGGAACCAACAGAACCAAAATGCATGCCTGCCACAGCTCCAAAAGCGGTACTTAAGTTCACTGATCCCATTTCATTTGCCTTGCTAAAATAAATACTGCTTCACTTATTATGTCGAACGGTTGCAGGAAGTTGTAAGTAAGACGCAGGTGTTGTTCACATTGAAAATATGCTTTCCTTTTCTATTTCTTAGACAGCACCATCTTTTCGGCAAGCCCTTTTCCAAGGTAAAGATGGCGTCCTGACGTAGGAGAATGTGGAGGGTGGTGAAGGATCCCTGTGCGGCGGCAAAAGTCCAAAAAACATACTATTGTGACAGTGAGGTTTACAATGAACAATCGAATGGCCTCTTGCTAAAGCAGAATTACGAGTTGGGCGAGTTGGTGCATGTTCATCGTGAAAATATTCCTCGACGAATGGTCTCTCTCCAAACATTTTTCTAAATGCTTCAACGATTTGACTGATATGTGAGGTTTAACGTCCCAAAACCACCATATGGTTATGAGAGACGCTGTAGTGGAGGGCTCCAGAAATTTCAACCACCTGGGGTTCATTAATGTGCACCCAAATCTGAGCACACGGGTCTACAACATTTCCGCCACCATTGGAAATGCAGCGGCCGCAGCCGGGATTCGAACCCGCGACCTGCGGGTCAGCAGCCGAGCACCTTAGCCACTAGACCACTGCGGCAGGGCGCTTCAACGATGCAAGGAAGCAAAACCTAAATCGGCCACAAGCTGCTATACTACGAGCGGAGCAACACGAATTTGCCGAAACTGCCTCCGTAGTTTTCGCGACACTATTAAGAGGCCTCACGGCACAACACACATTGCTAGGAAGCCGCACTATATAAAAAAAAACGGATATTACTCGCACCCCCACTTGGCCACTGAAATTTAACGTTTTTTGGTGTGGGTTATGCACGCGAAATTATGGCAAATACAATGTCATTATAAAAAGAATTGCCTGTGGTAATCATTTGGGTCAGTTAGCCCAGAATAACCCAATCTACTAGAAAAAGAGAAAGCACATGCGTAATGGCCACTTAGCCATGCTACCTTTTCTGTTTCAACAGCATTCACCGGGTGTTGAAAGGTTCACCAAAGTTTATTATTGCTGCATTGCTAACCAAAGGCAATAATTTGCATATATACATGTGCTTTGACTGGATCGCAAAACAGGAGCGTGGAACTAGTCAGCTGACAGGAAACGTCTAAGTGACAGTGTGACCACTCGAAATCGGCAAAACTCGTTAAGAGATGACAAACCATGAAAGCCTCACATGCAACCGACAATATAGAGCTAGTGGAGCTTTCGAAGTTAATCAATAGGCACAAGATAGCCGACATCAGAAGGTCTAACATGGAGAGAATCGAGCAGGCTGTAAAAACCGGCAGAAGCCTAAAAGCTGCGAAGGCAAAGTTGTGCATAGGCGAAAATCGGATGTAGAAGGGACAAGGAAGGCAATGTCATAATTAATATGAATAGGATAGTTTAGGTTGTTGAAGAGTTCTACAGAGAGTTGTAGAGTAGCTGAAACAACCAAAATAATATTGCAAGACGCAATAATAGCCCAGAGGAATTCGACATCTTACCAGTACCGACAGGGGAAGTAAGGAAAGCCCTAAAAGGAATGCAAAGAGGCAAGGCCGCTGGTGAGGATAAGGTAACAACGAACCTGCTGAAAGAGGGTGGAGAAATAGTGTTACAAAAACCGTACATATTAAGTGTCTCTTGACAGGAAGGGTAATACAATCTTGAAAGAATGCCAACATAACCTTAATCCATAAGAAAGGAGATGTCAAGGACTTGAAAAATTACAGGCCAATTAGCTTACTGTCTACTATTTACTATTTACAAACTATTTACAAAAATAATAGCTAATAGAGTTAAGGTAAGATTAGAGTTAAATCAACCAAACTTCATTCTCCACAGCAAATGTAGTGCAATTTTTTTCAGTCATAAAAAACCAACCAGCCTAACACCTCACTTTGCTAACCAAACAGGATTTCGTACAGGCTAGTCCACAATAGACCATATTCATACTATCAATCAGGTAAAAGAGAAATGCGCAAAATACAACCCACCCCTACACATAGCTTTCATACATTATGAAAAGGCGTTTGACTCAGTCAAGACATCAGCAGTAATGCAGGCACTACAAAATCTGAGCATCGTTGAACCCTACAGAAACATACTGAAAGAAATCTACAGTGGATTCACAGCCACAAGGAAAGCAACAGAATCCCAATAAAGAAGGGTGTAAGACAGAGAGACAATTTCTCCAATGATATTCACTGCCTGTTTACAGAAGGTTTTTAGAACCCTAGATTGGGAAGAGTTAGGGATAACAGTTAAAGGAGAGTATCTTACTAACCCGAGATTCACTGATGACATTGCCTGGATGAGTAACTCGGGGGGGGGGTGGGGGGGGAGACGAATTGCAGCTCATGATTATTTGACTGGCCATAGAAAGAAAGCAGAAAAGTAGGTCTGAAAATAATATGCCCAAAACTAGAGTACTGAGCAACAGTCTCGGCCGTAAACAGCACTTTGCGATAGGTGGAGACACACTGGAAGTTGTAAAAGACAGCTAGTGTACATAGGACAGGTACTAACCGCGGAGCCAAACCATGAGAGTGAAATAACTAGAAAAATAAGGATGGGGTGGATTACATTCCGCAAGCATTTTCAAATCATAAATGGTAATCTGCCACTAGCCCTCAAGAGGAAGGTATACAACAGCTGCGTATCACAAATACTTACTTACAGAACATAAACCTGGAGTTTTACAAAAAGGGTTTAGCTGAAATTGAAAACAATGCCGCGAGCGAAGGAAACGAAAATGATAGCTATAACCTTAAGTGACGAGAAGAGAGCAGAGTTGGTCAGGGAGCAAACCGGGGTTAAATATATCATAGTTGAAATCAAGAAGGAATGGACATGGGCCGGCCTCGCAGCACTTCGGCAGAATAACCGCTGCTCATTAAGGGTAACTGACTGGATTCCCAGAGAAGACAAGCACACGAAGAGGAGGCAGAAAGTTAGGTGGGCCGATGAGATTAAAAAGTTCGCAGGTAAGTGGCAACAGAAAGCACAACACCGGGTTGATTGCCAGATCTTTGCCCTGCAGTGAGCGTAGTCAGGTTGATGATGATGATGTGCAACCAACATGGTGACAAACATACACTAAGAGCATGTGCAAGAAAAAACAAGTGCGCTAACAATAAAAAAATTTGCACTCTTCACAGTGAAAAAAGAAACAAAACAAAAACAAGCAAGCCATGAAAATGGTAGCCTTTCAAAGTACTCAACAACAAGAAACAATGACATGGTTGTGCTGATTTGTGATACACAATGTGCTGGCTGAATTGTAATAAACAAATGACAGCATGAGAGAGCAGTAAAACAAGATCCAAAAAAGAATGCCTCAATTTCTTACATGTAGCCCAGAGTCTTGAATTAAGTCTCTCATTGTAGGGACGAAGTGCATACAACAATTGCTGTTGATTAAAAGAGCTAAAAATATAGCAAGGCCTTACAAACATTGCATGCTTTAAACACTCAACTGCATTGTTCTCGAAAGAGCTAAGCTCAACATTTCTAATCTTGATGCAAGCCAACCACACTTGCAAGACGGTTCTGTATATATTTCCTTCCAAATAATAAGAACTGCTGCAAGCTAACACATTCAGTAAGCACTCTTACTCTTTTGGCTCTAATCATGTACTAGTTTTAACTGTGTCACTACAATCAACTTGCTCCAACTAGAACTATAATAAAAGTATATTCAGCAACATAACTGACAATAGCCACCCCCCTCCCCTCTCAAAAACAAATTAAAATGAATACCCTGTCAATGCTAAAACCTATAGCAACATCCAACTATTACATTATTATAAGTGGATCTTGAAGAGTGACAGGCCTATAACAAGCATGCCACTCTTGTTTTTTACATCTAAAATATTTTCAATTTTTAAAACAAGGCCCATTAAACATTGTATCACATTTATGTTACCTCTAATATGCAGAGGAGTGATTGGGAGCTTTCTTTTTTGCAGGCCAATAGTCAACATGCTAAAAAAGAACGGCATCACATAGCCTCTTTCCCCCTCACAACTGAGACACGTGGCAGTGAAGCCAGGGCTCTGATGTCACCCCGAGGTAACTGGACAAACATTAAACAAACAAGCTGCACAGGCATACCATCCCGTCGGTGAGCTTACGCAGCACAGCTCCTCATGCATCAGATGAGGTCTCCAGCATAGTTAAGAGAAAATTGTCAATGGGGGTGTCTCCAATGAGCTTGAAGAAAAAGAGGTGCTCGAGGCACTTCAGCCCGATGCTGCGCAGAGCTGGAAGCCGCAAAAGTAGCTTGGCAAAGCGCCCTGGTTGGTCTGGGTACTGTTGTCGGCAGTGGTCTTCCAGGGCAGCGTATACTTTCTCCCTTAGAGCCTCCACTTGGTTAGTGCTGCGTAGACCCTTTGCCTCTGCATGACCAGTAAGGACAAACAGCCACTTTCAGTACAAGCTATTGATGGCGATTTGATATGTAGGGTTTAACGTCCCAAAACCACCATATGGTTATGAGAGACACCGTAGTGGAGGACTCTGGAAATTTTGACCACCTGGGCTTCTTTAACGTGCACCCAAATCTGAGCACACGGGGCTACAGCATTTTCGCCTTCATCGAAAATGCAGCCGCCGCAGCCTACAAGTGATCCAAGCCCAATCGCACCTTACTAAATTTCGAGAATTATGATGCCTGTGTACTATTTCACTGCTTTAATTTGTGCATTATTATACTTAAAAGTACTTTTTTTTTACATTTTATGCAAACAATTGTGACTGAAACTGGTGCTTTAAGTTCACTGCTTTAAGTTGTGCATTCTTAAACTTAAAAGTACTTTTTTTTACATTTTATGCAAACAAATGTGACTGAAACTGGTGCTCCCAACTCTGAAAGAACCAAAAGCTTTTAAAAAGGCCATACCGAGAAAGCTTGATCTATGCAGGCATCACCAAATTTAGGCCAAACCCTGACAAGTTACAATATTGATAGCGCAGGACTGCCACCAAATTTTAGTGCTGCTAAAAATTACATGCATAGTTAGGAGTGTCCATTTCCATTCACACAAAGCTATGAGGAGCTTCATTAACACATATAAATACAGTTAAAACTTAGCCTACCGAAACCCAATTTTAAGGAATTCACAATCGAATGAAGAAATCACCATTCCCTCCCCTCATTTCCCCATAGGGGTCTATGTTGTCATCAACCTGAAGTAACAATGAGGGGTGTAATTAGGAGCAACTTTTGGAGCAGCAAACTGTTATTTTCTAGCACGATAAGCTAACTTTGTAGCAGGTTGAGCAGAAAAAAACATTCATTTTTTATCCCGAAGAACCAATTTGAAACAGTATGAAAAGCCAGGGGCGCAACAGCCAAAATAGAATTTGGGGCAGGTTGTGGGAAAGAAATTTCTGATGAAAGACCGAATCTGGAGCAGTACGAAAACGAAGGCTTACATCTAAAGAAATATATGTACCAAATATTCAACACACTTAGATTGTGCATAGTGAACATGAGTACTGCTATTTAAATTAAACTAGTGTTTTGAATTACCCGACTGAGTAAACAATGAAGTTCACATTAGCATTTGCAGTGCCTGCAGAATCCTTTGACAGACTCTGCGAATTCAAATGTGGCTCTGTCAAGCTGGCGACCTTGAAACTCGAGAGATTCGTAAAACCGAGGAGTAGGAATCGCGAAAGAAAAACTGGCACACAATGTTTTTCTTTGGGGAGGAAGGGGGCAGCACAACTGTCATTCGCTGCTCCAAATGATTTTCAGCAACTCTTTTAGACCCCAGCATTCACACTAGTATTCAAAATTACGCGAGACATACACGAATGAGTAACTTAAGAAAATACGCTGCATTCAATGACTAGCGCTAACAGCCCCTTCCAAATCCCAAGACACTTTTATGCCGTACACCAGTGTACTGCGGTGAAGGTAGCTTAAGCAGCATTCTGCACGGGCTAAAACAAGGCCAAACAAGAACCGCAACACCACCACTACTCCACCCCCACTTTTTTTTTTCCCCTGACAGTGGGATTAGCTTTAGGGCCTAACTTCTAGGCGCGTTCGACCAGATAAAGTAACAACGGCGTGCTTGTTGGCCCGGAGACATATCTATCGCTGGGACGCTGCCACATATCAAGCCAGAAAAATTATGTGTCATTGCTATGGCAACAAATGTGGAGGCTGTAAATGACGGCGTTTGCAAAATGCCGACCTTGTTTGCAAGCAGAAAACGTGCCATACATTCTTAACATGCCATACCTGCGTTTGCTGACTGAAAAATTCATAGTTCCCGCAAATCGTTGGTGGCTGTGACAACGCTTTTTTTTTTTTTGGCTAGATGTTTTGTCGACTCGCGGATAGGTGTCCACTATGGTCTGCTGACCCATGGGCGCATCGGCGGGTCCCATAGCCCTTTCAGTCACGGCATCCACAATTGTGGACGTGAACTTCAAAGACGTCTCACTGGCCGCCCGTTCCTTCAAATGGCTTGAAACTCAGAGCGCATATTCCTGTAAGCATCCTGTGTGCAAAACTAGCGATCATTTAATTTAATTGTGCTCCGATTGCTCGAGACGATAACTTTGTTGGAGACGCTACCATGTTCGACAATCGTTCGAAGTGCCGTGGTCCAGGACCAACATGAAAAGTATATTTTTCTCTTTTTTAAAACGAATACAACCAAAAAACTAAATATACATGCATTTTGTGCCTAATAGTTGATTCTTTTTATGCAAGTACTGAAGCTGGCAGGTTGCTGAATAATTAGACAATCAATTGCACACTCCTTATCATAAATTAGTGAAACCCAGAAAAAAAAACATTTCTTTTTTTTTTCCTGGAGTGTAATACTGAAGGCCATAGCACCATGCGACACCAATTTGACGAGTTTCTAACAATGGCATCATAATGCAGGTCTGAAGGGGATAGAGTTAATATAGACTCTATGGCCAATCCGCGGACCAATAGGCGCACGGGGTTTTTACTTTATCTCATACTTTATCTGATCAATCGCGATTCGCAAGTGTCCTCACCTAACAAGTATACGACTAGCACCGTGTTTTAAGCTTGAGGTCTGCCGCTTGATTGTATTGATGAAGCAAAGTGCAGGCGGCCAATGTGTCCTCCATTTCTCGCTAAAATTAACGCCTGTGAGATAATTTTGAGGCTGGTCGAGCATTTTGGCATAGAGTGGTGCAACTTCAGCAAATTTCGTGGTTTCGGTGCAGCTCGGCACAACGAATGAGAATTGTATCAAATTGGCACAATCGAGGCAGGTGTTGCATCACTGAAAAGGGTATAGATTTAGAAAAAAAATTGTACAAACCACTCAACATCCCCTAAATTGTGCAGAGTGAACACGAGCACTGCTTTTTCAATAAAAGTAGTATTTTGAATCGCCTCACTCAGCAAACAATGATAAACTCCACATAAGCATTTACCACGCTGGTCAAATCCTTTGACAGACTCCGAGAATTAATATGCAGACCGGCCAAGCTGGTGACCTTGAGATTCGGGAAATAGTCAACTTTACAGGAGTAGAAGTGGTGGAAAAAAAAAAGCTGACACAATTTTGTTTGATTTTTTAGAGATGCAGAAATGTCATACAGTGCTCCAAGTGATTATAACTTTTTAGACAGCAGTGATCATATTAGTACTCAGTGTTAAGCACACGACCAAGAAATTTTTGGACTGCTATCCCCTGCCACCACAGTCACTTTTTTTTTTCACAATGAGGTTAGGTTTAGGGCACAACCTCTCACTTCTCAGTTCGCTTGCAAGGCGCGTTTGACAAGATAAAGTGGCAACGGCACATGCCCACGGGCATGGTGACGGTACCGGATATCTATCGCATGTGCCGTTACTATGACAACTAACAAGGTCGCCGGCAATGCCCGCGTTCACAGTACGCCGCGTTTGTTCCCGTGCAGTAATAGCGGCACACGCTTCCAGCTTTAGTTTCTAACATGCTATAGCCGCATTTTCCGACAAGGAAATTCATATTTCTCACGAAGTGTTGCTGGCCAAGGCAACACATTTTTTGGCTTGAAGTTGCGTCGTCCCACCGTTAAATATCCGCCGAGGTCAGCGGACCAATGAGCGCACGGCGTTGTTACTTAATCTGGTTGATCGTGTTTTGAGACTGTCCTGGCCAAATGAGTATATATATATCTCTTACACAATGGTTTCAAGTTAAGGTTGCGGCATCAATCAATCCCAGGATTGATTGATGACGCAAACTACAGGTGGCCAACGTGGCCTACATTTCTTGCTGAAATTAGCACAACTGAAAAAATTTGAGGCTGGTGGGGCACTTTGGCACAACGTGATACAATTTCTGCAAATTTCATGGCTTTGGCGCAGCCTGGCGCAAAAATATATCCAATTGGCGCAGATGTTACACCCCTCAATAATGCTAACCACCAAAACAATTTATAGTTTTCCCACAAATGATTAAGAAAAGAAGTGGCAATTATTTTTTAATTTTCACATAGGCTTTCCTACCTGTCTGCATTTTAGCACTATCACATTAAGACATCCAAGTGTCTCTGTCCCGAACCTGGCTTTAGCTTGACGAGGCCGAGTGCTACAACAATGCATGGAATAATACATTCAGCACTCAGCAGAATTCTTACAGACCAAATGATTGATATGTGGGGTTTAACGTCCCAAAATCACCACATGGTTAGAGATGCCATAGTGGAGGGCTCCGAAAATTCTGATCATCTGGGGAACATACCAAATGGCACAAGAAGCCGCAGCTCTTGCTTTCACTATTTCGTGGTTTATGCAACAGACGACATTGATCGTCTCCTCACGAATTTTTTGCTCAGCAGTATTACACAGTTACTGCGTTCATTCTCTGCATATCAGTGAACTTTCACAGGTTCACGTGACCATTCACACTATGTACACAGTTGTGTACCCCACTCGTTTTTCATAATTGATCAAGTAGAGGTTAAGAGCAAGATATGCCATACACTGGACGAATTAAATTGCTTACATCATAAATTTGCCTTCATAGAACTTCATTTTGCAGTGTACTGATAGATATATCTCTTTGTTCAAAATGGACATTGTAAAAAATGAATCTGCACTACATTCCAAGACTGAGATTTTAATCTGTTTATGCCAAAAGTAGATATCAATGACTTCAAGGTAAAGAGATATTTAATTACAACTTAATTAGGATGATTTACTGTGATACACATAAATGCAACATTTATCTTATTATTCTCATTGCACTATAATTTATTTACTCATACTGTTGGCCTGTCGGCTGTTACAGGGTGGGTCGGAAGTAGCACTTTGCAAGATACACATTACATGATGAATAACGAAAGGCAATTAAAAAATAGCAAGAAATGTATTGGTAAACAATAAAACAGGAACAGAAACAAATAA